TATTTTGTTATTTATCTTTGATGCTAAGGCAATAAATATGAATAAATAAATAATAAAATAAAAGTAATAAATATTAATAAATAATTAACGCTACAATAATATTAATGTTACTTTAAAATACAAATTTACAGCATTTATAAATCTATGTAAATTTATAAATATACCATTGTTGTATTTCAGCTTATACTATTGTTGATTGTCAATTCATGGTAGTAATTTTTCATTAATTGTATTTCTTTTTATCTTTGATGCTAATATATGGCAATAAGACAAATATGAATGAATGAATAATGTTATATATAAAATAATGCTAACTAATAATATTAAAGTTAATTTAAAATACATTTTGAAACATTAAAAATGTATTAAGTAATATTAACCTGTTATTAACTGTTAATATTATCTGTTTGGGGTCTCTAAGATTTGTTCTTATATTTATAAAAATAAGTCTCTTATGCTCAACAAGGCTGCATTTATTTGATCAAAAATATAGTAAAACAGTAATATACAGTATCTCACAGAAGTGAGTACACCCCTCACATTTTTGTAAATATTTTATTATATCTTTTCATGTGACAACACTATAGAAATTACACTTTGCTACAATGTAAAGTAGTGACTGTAGTAATGGCTGTGTGTTGAGTTATTTTGAGGGGACAGCAAATTTACACTGTTATACAAGATGTACACTCACTTCTTTACATTGTAGCAAAGTGTCATTTCTTCAGTGTTGTCACATGAAAAGATATAATAAAATATTTACAAAAATGTGAGGGGTGTACTCCTGTGAGATACTGTAGTTTTAATATTTTAATAAAACCGTAATATTGTGAAATATTATTACAATTTAGAATAACATTTTTCTATTTTAGTATATTATAAAATGTAATTTCATAAAGAAACAATGACAATTTACACAGATGAGTAAAGTGATGGGATGGAATTATGATATAAGAGTTTTGATTCTTGATTTCCTCTTTTGTGTGACCCCTCTGTGCATTTAATGACCCTCCGTAGGTGAGCTGAATATGAGCTCAAATGTAGGGCTCCTGCTTTAATGATTCACTCTTCTTCTCTTGTACTGAAGTAGATGTTAAAACAAACTACTGTTTGCTCAAAATGTACGCACATTGTTTTTAACCTCTCTGTTTTAGCCTAATGTGATCCTGTACTTAGCTGTCCTCTGCTCTAAAGCAAAGGCAAACAGGATAATGCTACTTCCTGTTTTGCACACAGGGTGGTCAGTAGGTGACGGGGACAGAAACGACACAGCTTGTTTTTCTAATAGTGCACATCCATGTGCATTCATTTCTTTGCTTACTTCACTAACAGTGCAAGAACAGAAGTGGAGAGGCGCCATTTAGTTGATCTATGATGAATTTTGATGTGGATTTCATAGAAGAGATATCCAGGTCATATTTTACCCCAAAGAAAACTATATATATATATATATATATATATATATATATATTACTTCATGCAAAAATCTTAAAAAAAAAATTACTTCTCTGTGGCATTATTTTCAAAATAGTTAACACATTTCCCCCCAAATTCTCATCATTGTAACATGCTAATTAGTTTTTTTTAAATTTCCAATTAAGGACATACCCTCAAATTTACAGTCACTCAGTTTTCAATATTTCAATTTTAAAAATTTAATATTTAAATAAAAAAATTAAATACTGAAAAGTGAAATTTAAGTGAATGTGCTTATTTCTCATGAAAATAATGGCACAATGCAAAATAAGACCAATAATAATTAAAGGTACTGAATTTAAAAAATGTCTATGTTTTAAAAATAATTACATTTGTATTTTCAGGACAATGAACCCTGAAAAAAAAAAAAAGTAACATGCAACTTTTTAATTTAATTAAATTCAGTACAAAAATATACATTACTGACAATTATAGAAAGGGTGAGTGTGCTTTTTTTTAATGAAAATAATCTCACAATGCAGAAACAAAAAACATTAATAAAAATAAGTACCTTTTTTCCTTTTAATTTATTTTAGGGTGAAATGTGACCTAGACATTCCTTTCAAGCGTTCAATATATCCACCCTTACATATCTATCAAAGTATTTTTAAACATCTTTACTGAACAATGTCCATCTAGACCTGATAGTGTCATTGATCCTACTGTATTAACACTGTCTTTGGAGAAGACACTAATATGAATTGGTTAGGGAAGTGTACTTGCATTTTTACACAGTGATGTAGCATACCGTGTTTAATCCAAGCCAATTTACTCTTTATATTCTGTGAAAAACAAAAAACCATAAAAGTGAACAGAAATTAAGGATGAGGATTCTCAACAACTAACTTGCCCTATATTCATTCTCAGTAGAGTCGGCTGTAGTGCCTCGAAATCTGTGAATTGTAAGATCACTACTGTATAGATCACTAGAAGAGTTCCTATAATCATCAGTGTTGCTTTCCTACCATTGAGTTATTTAACATATCACTTTTCTCTCAATCTGTTCTCTCATTAGCATTTTCAGAAAGGTGTTTCATCACATTATCACCATTTAATGCTCCAGTCTGAATGTCTGTACGTTGATTACTCTATATTTAAATGAAACATATGGGCTGCATAGCAATAAAACATTCCCTAAACGATTGCGTTACCCTGCTGGAAGAAAAACAGCTTGGTGGTTAAGATGGTCTTAGGCTGGTTTAAGCAGGTTTTTCAGCAAGGAAGCATAGCTTGAGTGGTAAATATGAAATATTCATAAGTTAATTGCTTCACACTGTAATTGTCACAGGTGTTTGTTGATGCTAGGCAGACAAGGGCAGTCGGGACAATCAGCTCCTTTGGCCGTAAGGTCTTCTCTTATCAGTATGTGAGCTGGTTCAGTGGACTGTTGTTAGTTATATTTTCATCTGGGAGATGATTTGTGAGCTGAAATGCTTCCCACACTGACAGGGCATGGCACCGCACAGATGCAACTTTGACATGGAGGAACATAGCCAATTATTTTTCTGTTAACTCATTCCCAGTGTCATGGGAAATGTCATGGGAATAAATGTTCCACATGTAGTTATTGTATGACATGAAATGTTTCAATAAACTTAGATTTATTTGCCCAGAGCATCGTGTTTTGTTGGGGTGCAGTTGCAGTAACGCATTTAAACGTGAGGTGGCAGTATGACAGGCTTGACCGAATAAGTACAAAACATTTAAGCCTGCTGTTATATTCGATAACACAAAACGTTCATCTCTCAATTATCGTTTTACATTTGCATTTTATGTTTTGTCCCCACAATAATTTACTGAGCTTTGATCATAAAAGCGTGATATATCAAATATGATACTTTAAAAAAATTTTTTATTTATTTTTCCTTACTATTTTTTAATTTCAGGCTTTACAGGGTTAATACCTATCAAATCTCAGGAAGGTTTTTGTCTTAATGGAGACATTTGTTCATGAATAAATATGATTAAAAATATATATATATATTCCAGGGATGTACAAATGGAAATCTACTCTTGTTAACTTATCTCTCTATAGTATGATTAAATAAAATGCTATATCCTGTCATCGTCGCTAGAAAATGTGGTTCCACCTGTCCATCCTGAGAAAGTTAACGTAGCCTACCATGTAACGCCGCTCTGGGTTCGTCCACATATTGGCTTCAGTAAAGGTCTGGATGATAATACTACAAAAAAAGTCAGTTTAAAGTTTCATACACACTAAACTAAGCAAATAAAAAATATCAGAAACAACAGTTGCGGCGGAAGAGATGAGCTCATGAATATTAATTACGTAACGTGACGTTCGCCCAGTCGGCTTTGCAACAAAAGAAGGCAGACGATTGCAAATGGTCGCGAGGCAAATGGAATATCCAAGCTAACTTTAATCTTTATTTATTATTTTTTATCTTAATATTAATATATGACTTTGCGCCTTATGAAGGTAATGAAAGCAACGTAATACCGACCTTACCGCCGCCTCTGCTCACTCTAGCCCTCCGGCCGTTCCTCACTCTAGCCCCCGGCCTCTGCTCACTCTAGGCCGCCGCCGCTCACTCTAGCCCGACGTGTGTGACGCTGTGTTTCGTTGTGAAAGCGACTTTGTTTGGTCTTTCAAAAATGGACACGACTAGAAATAATTGGTTAAGTTGTATTTACAACACTGTTCCAGAACAGTTCAACCCAAATATTCAGATGTGTACAGCACATTTTATGGAGGACTGTTTACTGATCCTGGTAGAGTAGACTACAATGCCGGCTGTTCTGACTCATAGACTGTAAGTACGTTTTTTTATATTTAAAGAGTTTTTATATTTTATATTTTTTATATTTAAAGCAAGTTTTTTGGGCAGTGTAGAGTAGTGCTTGTTGTTCGTCATTTCTCCGATCACAAATGCAGACATGGTTTTATGTTTACGCGGCGCAATGCAACGCAACGCGTAAAAAGACAGTATAAGTCATTATAATCTTATATTATATTCCATAATATAATTCTGCATAAACACATTTCATTACACCAAATACACAAAATAATGTTCTTTTTAGCAACATCATATGACCCCTTTAATATTCATAATCTAGCAGGATTTTTTATTATTTAACGCGCAGGTGTCGCACCCTGGCGTGAACTAACAGCCCACAGAAAGTTCCGCTTCCCACAAAGACCTGCATACAGAACACAAAGCTGTTTCGCGAGCCTTCTAAGTTTATGACACAAGCTTTTTCTTAGTGCTAACATTTGATAACACATAAGTCGTTAACAACCATTATACTGTACAATGCTTAACACATCAGCAGCTGGCGCAGATGAATAAGATTTTATAATATAATAATGTTTGTTAGTTATTTAACTGAACCAAACTGTCTGCATGCTTTAGCCTACGTCTTAATATATATATTTACCATATTTTATACCTGTTCCTCCTTCCTGAATGATTGCATTTGCACATAGGTAGGCTATACCAGAATCGGATACACATGGACTAACATTTGTTGCAGTCAGTCAGGCCAGAGATTCACTGCTGTGCTTTAATGGTACATACTTTGGGTGTGAAATGTGATGCACGACCCCTGAACGGTAGATTTAAACAGCAGGGTCACCATCAGCTGCTGCCCCACAACTAACACTCCAACTTTACATTCCTGATGACTTTCCCACAGGGACACCTCATGTGTGACATCCTGCTTTCACCAAATACTTAGTAATCATGCCGATTCCTCACATTTTTAAAAGACATTTGCATTTTTTTTTTTTTTTTAGCAAAGCACCCATCACAGGACATGTTGAACTACTGGTGCTTTTAATCAGGGTTTGGACAAGCACAAACACAGCACTGAGATTCTCCGTGGCAAAGCACTAAAACACACCAGCATGACCAGATCCTCATGGGCATATCAAACATTAACCATCGGTCCCCGAGCACAGCACATCCCCCAAAACATTTCACAGAAATGAAGACCTGTCGGTAATCTTTTAACAGGGATTGTCCCTTAAACAGCAGCAACTCACAGGTCTTCCTGATGCTTAAAGGGATAGCCTACCTGAAAACTAAAATACCTAAATACCTCCATCATATACTCCAATCCAGTACGACTTTATCTCTTTTGTGGAACACACAGAAGAAATGTTGACATTTCAAAAATGACATTTTAACTGTATACTCCTATAGACAATCCAAATAAAGACAGTATGAAATAAGCAATTTTAGTCTGTTATTGCTTTAAACAGCCAGTTTTCACATGGAACAAGGGGAGTCCAAAACACAGTGAACATAACAATACTCGGCATGGAAGAAACATCAAAACCTTTGAGATTCAACAATGCAATTGCATACAGCAGAATGAGAGATGAAAAATTATCCAAAACGGCTGAATCTAACATAAGCGTACGACCCTTACACCCAATTTACACTTGGAAAAGAGCAGCACGTCAAACCAGATCATCATTTTGCTTACATTATGGAATTAAGCTAATTTTGTTGCATCGACACACAGCTTGCTTCCAGTTTAGATGTGTTAGGCTACTTAAAAAGTGTTTTTAATTAATTGCATGTGTTTTGATTGGTGAAGAGACATGAACGTGGAATGGCTCTAGGTCACCTTTTAGGAGACGGATCAAAGTAACTGCTCAGGAACTTGCGTTACACCAGTAGGGAAGTAACATGGACAAAGAGTATACATTGAACATTTACATAACCAATTTGCATTTTAACAATGCAAAGATGGTTGAAAATCAGTGAAATTGTCCTTTTAAGGATATTTGAAGCAGAGTCTGAGAAGATCGAGATGATGGTCACATTGTAGAACACATGAAAATCTGGCTCGCATTCACAGTTTGTGTCCCTGATTAGGGAATGAACGCATTTGTCCCCTTCAAATTTCTGCATATTGCATTTGATTTAAAACAAAATTTCAACAAACAGGAACATTTTTAAGAAATCTCGATTCATCAAGACAAAGTACATCGTATATACAAAAAAATTGTTAAATTACACAAACTGATCGCATCAGTTACGGCCTCCGCAAAAATGCAAAAACAAGTTGTCCCTCATGCACAAATAAGTTAAGTAGAGTCTGGAGGTGATTTTGTTCAGTCAGGTAAATCAGAAAACATCACAGTATGGTTCTTCTTAGCTTCCTTCTGAGCTTCTGCCCTCTGGGTCTGGCCTGAGTCCGGAGAAAGGCAGTCTGACGCAGTCTCTGGGAGTGGAATAGCACTCTTGAACCTGGGATTTAATCTGGGGTCTCTGGTATTCCGAACAATTCCCGTTCTGCATGACGGGCTTCTGGATTTTAGGGCTGTCGTAGATGTCTTCTGGGTAATTCCCCCTGTCTGTTTTGACGTGGGGCGCCTGGTAGCCCCCGGCCAGCCCTCCGATCACTTTCCTACAGTTACTGCCCTCCACCGCTCGAAACGACGGGCTTTTGTTTAGTACAACGCCTGGGATGCTGTAGCTGGGATCCGGAAGGAAAGGATCTTTGCGGAAGGTGTGGCGCTCGATGATGGGTGTGGCGTATTCTGGCTCCTGATTGGTCAGTGGTAGGGCATACTGGATGCCTGTCTGCAGGTGGTCGTAGTGAGAAGTTGCCTCGATGTCCTTGTCTTTGGCCTCGGTGTCCATGGGTCTGAACGTCGAGCCTTTTCGGGACACAGTGTCTGTGCCAAGCATGAGAGGCTGCTGGTACTCAGCTGAAGAAAAAGAAAAGGGAAATAGTTGGTAACTTAGTAAAAGTTATTCTAAAACACCGTAATCTTTATGTTCAGTGTTATTTTAGTATTATTTATATACTATTATAGTATTTATTAATATTTTGAATGTGATTTTATTTTTATATTTTCAGTTTTCAATTTAATTTATGTTTTAGTAATTTTGTTGTGTGCCTTTGTCATTTTTTAAAAATATTTCTATATAGCTTCAATTTATTATTTAGCTTTAATTTTTCTTATTATAATTTTTTTTAATTAATATAAATTTGAGTAGTTTTAGTACTTCAAATTTTATTTCAGTTAGTTAGTATTTAGTGGGCAACATTTCAAATTTTTAGAAGTTCATTTTAAAGTTTAAATCATTAATTAAGATTTAATTATTTAGTTATTAAGATCTAATTATTACTTTTATTTTATTTCAGCTTTATTTTAATCCCCGAAAAAAAAAAGATTTTAATAAAATAAACATTAATCAATTAACAATTAAAACAATTAAACTCCGCACACCTGACGACAATAGATAGGTGCGTTGGAGGTAAAGACCAACCAGGTCAAAAAACTAAAAAGCAAAAAACAAATCCCGCACACTATCTATGCAAAAGGAATTTTCTGTTGAAGGTCTTTTTGAAAGAATTATTTTATGCTCATCAAGGCTACATTTATTTACATAAAAATACAATAAAACAGTAATATTGTGATATTGATAATAACAGTAATACTGAAAAATATTATTACAATTTATATTTTAATGTCGTTTTTTTAATGTAACATTTTTCCTGTGAGCACATCTCCTGACACTGACCTTTGACCCTCAACTCTCCTTTATCCCCCACAGCCCTCAATCGCTCCATTCTTTATGAATCTAAACACCGCTGCAATGTGTTGCTGAGGAATCACAACAGGCCACACGGGGTTTGCTCTTTTATCGACACCAGTGACTGTGATATCTATTAGGGCAAGTTGGGAATCACTGGTGCATGTACATATGCAATGCTGAGACTGTCTGCTGTGTTTGATAACAGGACTTGAAACAGATGGTAGCTGAACTGAGATAAACGTCAGAGACACAGGTGGCAAAGTCTAGGGTCTCTCATCACCTTCATCAGTCTTAAACAACAGAAGAGGCCTAACAATTCCCTTGAAACAACTCCATAAGAGGTTCCCATTCATTCATCCTCATTTCCCCCGTCCCTGAGCTCTCTCTCAGAGGACTAAAGCAGCTGGCACATCTCCTGACACTGACCTTTGACCCTCAACTCTCCTTTATCCCCCAGAGCCCTCAATCGCTCCATTCTTTATGAATCTAAACACCGCTGCAATGTGTTGCTGAGGAATCACAACAGGCCACATGGGGTTTGCTCTTTTATCGACACCAGTGGCTGTGATATCTATTAGGGCAAGTTGGGAATCACTGGTGCATGTACATATGCAATGCTGAGACTGTCTGCTGTGTTTGATAACAGGACTTGAAACAGATGGTAGCTGAACTGAGATAAAACTGCAGTTCTCCAATGAATGCTAACATATCAGACTCTACCTCCCTCTCACATCAGACACAACATGGAGAATACAGACAAAATAGTCTTAACTTTCATCCTTACTTCTTTAAAGTCAACATGAAATCAAAACGGACCAATTTACTTTGCTGATACACATTGAAGGTTAGGTAATCATAACAGAGGTCTTTTATATCTCAAAAAGGTATGGTAGCAAAAGGACTTCAGGGAAAATCCAAACTAATATGCCAATAAATTAAAAAAAAAACATAAAATTGACTTACTTGTATAGCATTTTAACCACGCAGATTCCCACCAGAAGCAAGACCACAAGCAGAATGGTGGGCACAATTATTACGACCAGAGTAACTGAAAATAAGACAAATACAAGATATTTTCTTCATGATGAAGAAAAACAAATAAATATTCATCTACATGGTCTCAACGGACCAATTTACTTTGCTGATACACATTGAAGGTTAGGTAATCATAACAGAGGTCTTTTATATCTCAAAAAGGTATGGTAGCAAAAGGACTTCAGGGAAAATCCAAACTAATATGCCAATAAATAAATAAAAAAACATAAAATTGACTTACTTGTATAGCATTTTAACCACGCAGATTCCCACCAGAAGCAAGACCACAAGCAGAATGGTGGGCACAATTATTACGACCAGAGTAACTGAAAATAAGACAAATATAAGATATTTTCTTCATGATGAAGAAAAACTAATAAATATTCATGTACATGGTCTCACATTTTTGAACCATGACATTTCAGAGATGAGAAAAGATAACAATATAATAATATAAATATAAACAAACATATTTCTATAAAGGAAATAAATTGAAATGTGTATAAAGTAAATAATAAAATACTGCACAAATATAACAATTAAGGTCAGGTAGATAACTTATTTTAGTGTCATTGATGTACTATTAAAATTCTTAATATTTTGAATTACATTTAATTTTTTTATATTTTCTGTTTTTTAATTTGTTTACCTTTTACTAATTTTTAAAAAACATTTGTTTATATAGTTTTTATTAAGTTTTAGTTCTAGTTATTTTAGTACTTCAACAAACTAAATGAAAATGAGAAATGTTAGCTGAAATAAAATAAGCAATTTAATTTTTACAATATTTTATTTTATTTCAGCTGTTCATTTTAAGTAATTAACTTTTTATGGTTATAGTTAAAGGGTTAGTTCACCCAAAAATGAAAATTATCCCATGAATTACTCACCCTCAAGTCATCCTAGGTGTATATCTTTCTTCTTTCAGACGAATCCAGTCAGAGTTATATAAAAAATTGTCTTTGATCTTCCAAGCTATTTAAATGGCAGTCAGCGCGTGTTGCATGCTTCAGTCCAAAAGAAGTTAAATAAAGCACATCCATCCATAATAAAAAGTGCCTCAAACAGGGGAGGGGGGTGAACAAAGTCCTTCTGTAGCGAATCCATGCGTTTTTGTAAGAAAAATAACCATATTTAAAATGTAATAATCACTTTAGTCTAGCTTGCGCCAACAGTTGTACGCGGAAGCAGCTCTGGGAGGATGACGCAAGACGTCGGCGTTGCGCATGCACCACTCAGAAGTGACGAATGTCGGAGGATTTTGATATAAGCCAAGAGGAGACTGGTTTTCCTTTGCTAAAGTAAGGAAACTTTGCTTCCTTAGCTCCTATAAACAAACATTGGTTTTCACGAGACTCACTGGTGCATGCGCAGCGCTGACCTCAGAGGTCATCCGCCCGGAACTGCTTCCCTTTACAACAGTGAGCGCAAGCTACATTAAAGTGATTATTACGTTTTGAATATGGATATTTTTCTTACAAAAACACATCGATTCGCTTCAGGAGGCCTTTGTTCACCCCCCGGAGCCGTGTAAGGCACATTTTATTATGGATGCATGCACTTTATTTCATGTCTTTTGGACTGATGAACTGCAACACTAACTGCCATTAAACAGCTTGGAAGATCAAAGTCAATTTTTTATGTAACTCCGATTGGATTCATCTGAAAGAAGGAAGTCATATACGCCTAGGATGGCTTGAGGGTGAGTAAATAATGGGCTAATTTTCATTTTTGGGTGAACTAAACCTTTAATGACAGTAAACCCCTGAGGTAGACAACAAGTAACAAAATATAGAGAAAAAATGCTTTAAGCTGAAATTTGAATAAGGGTAGGGAAGAGTTATTTGCATGTTTTCAGACATTTGTTCAGTAAATCTGTAACAATCTGTAATAATTAATGAGTGATTAGCTTGTGTAAAATCATACCAAGATCAGCCTGAGAGGCCACTGGTTTGGTCATGTCATCGTGAATGGGCTGTGTAGGCTGGGCCTCCTGTGTCACCGGAGACGATGAATTCACTGCTTGGGGAGAAACAGTGGTTTAGTGAACGGTTTGAATGAGAAAAATTAGGTTGTAAAGCCTTTATGTGTCAGACACGCACCTGGGATGGGTTTAACATAAGGACAGCCCAGTAGCTGCACTCTCATAGCGATTGTCCTGTGCCACTGTTGAGGTACGATTCGAATGCTTCGTGCTACGATGGAGGGATGGAAGGTGTTGCGTGTTTGGTGGAGGCTGCCAGTATTTCCTTCAAAGATCTGAGGTAAAACAGAGGAATGATGCACAGACACTTAAAAAATGAATTTTTATTACTGACTCTTATTAAACATCTCTGGTCTCATTGTGTGTGATTCATTAGTGCTCATTATTGAAAATATATTTTTTTTCTTTTTCATAAAGACCATTTTTGATGCCATTTGGCCAGGGAAAAACTAAATAAATCTTTCTCTCTAGAATATATTATTATTATTTCCTACTATTGGCCAGGGAAAAACAATGTAAACCAAAAATAAAATATATAATAATAATTCAATAAAAAAAAACTCTCTCTCTCATATATATATATATATATATATATATATATACATACAGTACATACATATATATTTAAAATTACAATACTATAATATCATTAATATTATTACATTATTTTATTTTACTCCAAAATATTCCATATAGTGGACGCTATGTGCCATTTCCGGGTTGTGTTGAACATGATTATGCAGTGATATAAAGAAAGTCTTACCATATCATCAGAGTTATTATACTGGACAAAAAGTCGCCAACGACTCCTCTCTTTGTACTCGATCTTGTAGTTTTTTACAAAATATCCGAAGCCTGCAATGGTCAAGCCTGTGGTCAGAATACCTATGAAACAAAAATATGACTCAGAATTATGTCATTAGCAAACTAAAGTTTAGTTCAATGTCTAGGCACACAACATTTAGCCTCAAACACTCCTGAGGTCATTCTCCTGAGTACAGTGATGCAAATGCTCAGCCAGCTGAGGAATGTTGACAGCATGTAGGCTAAAGACTTCACTTCAGAGTGCAGCCCGTCATCTGCATCACAGTGGAAAACCTACGGCCGGCCTCATTCAGTTACTGAACACATTCCTGAGGGAAATACTCAAGTGACATGTTCCCAGCAGACACAGAAAGACCCCAAGGCCTGTTATTACTTTCCAACATTGACTACATCACAGGCATGAGGACACCACCGTGATGATCACAGAAGCAAGTTAAAGTGTGAAGCTGTGAGATTGAAGTGTGATGACTTGAAAGTTGAGAAAGGAAGTTGCTCATCATCAAAGAGAAGCCACTATTTAAAGCAAGTCTGGAAAGCTGAAGAATCAAAGCACTATTTAAAAAAAAAAAAAAGACACTGGCGTCCCTTCTCGTGGCTGAAGATGAGTATACTGAAAACTAAACAAGCTGTTAAGGTAAATTAAGGTAATTGTGGTTCTGACTGGATGAGCCATGCATAACTCATAATTCTCCCTCCTACTAAGTGAAAATTACTGCTGGGATGGCATTTGGACATCTGACGCATTTTTAAAATGATAGCATTTTTAAATTTGTTTTATTTTAATATCGTTTTCACTTGTTTGTTTTTTTTGGTTTTAAATGCATTTATCTTTTTTTATCATTTTCAAATTTGCTATAAAATTCAGTTTCGTTTTGTAGTTTCATTAATAATTTTGTTAATTCTCCCTCCTACTAAGTGAAAATTACTGCTGGGATGGCATTTGGACATCTGACGCATTTTTAAAATGATAGCATTTTTAAATTTGTTTTATTTTAATATCGTTTTCACTTGTTTGTTTTTTTGGTTTTAAATGCATTTATCTTTTTTTATCATTTTCAAATTTGCTATAAAATTCAGTTTCGTTTTGTAGTTTCATTAATAATTTTGTTAGATTTAGTTTAGTTTTTATTTTGTGAACACATTTCTATTTAGTTTTTATATAGTTTAGTTTCAGTTTTAGTTTTAATAATTGAAATTTAGCAGAACTAACAGATCACTTCGAGAGCGCAGACCAAAGAAAGACTTAATTTAACCCTAGTGACGCAAACAAAATTAAAGCATCCTGAGATTGATTAGATGGTAAAAATATACAAATATACGTCAAAATGAAGCATTCAAGCCCTTTTACTCCATAAATCTACACAAGTTTCGCTTAATTTAATATAAATTGTCATATTTGAAAGCACTAGACTGAATGATAAATGTGTGTTGTGATATTTAATATTCAAATAAATATAATTTGTTTAGATGTCTTCTATCTTACTTAACAACAGTCATGATATTGTAACTGTCGTGTCTTGCTTTCTTTCCCACGAACAACCGCGCATAAATCAGAACTGGGGCAAATTTTTTAGTTAGTTAGTTTATTTTAATAAAACTTCTTACAATATGTGGTGATGCACGTGACAGGATGATACATTTCCTTCTCAACCTCCATTGCATCGATCGTGCCTTATTTCTGATCATACCTTTCGCAGTGCACTTTAAACCAGAGTCCTGCACGCGGATGACTCCCCATGGGTACCGCTAATATTTGATGAAATGAGTGGAATATTATTTAAGTTGTCATTTGCGTTGCATGATGAATCACTAACTTCAATTGAAAATACAGTAAAAAAAATACAGTAACATTGTGAAATATTATATAATAAATCTATTTGAATATATTTTAATGTAATTTAGTCCTGTGATAAAAAGCTGAATATTCAGTATCATTACTCCAGTCTTCAGTGTCACATGATCCTTCAGAAATCATTCTAATATGCTGATTTGCTGCTAAAGAAAAATAAAATCTTACTGACCAAAACTTTTTAACAGCACTGTAGGTTAAAGTGATTTTACTTTACTTAAGGGTGATTCTAATATAACAACAACACTAGTTTCTTGTGGCTCATTGCTTTGATTTACCCTACTCTCTACAGCAATGTATTAAAAAAAAAAACATGAATTTTTCATGCCTGTTGACAAAAGCTTTCTCAGAGAAAAATGCAGTGGTGAAATGCTTAATCTCTAGTTTTATGTAGCCTTACAAATTTACGCTATCATCACAACAATAACAGAGCTTCCTCTTTGAGACGGGCCAGTTTCACTCAGGGTCATCGTGTCCAAAAGCACAAATTCCCTCTAGGAGACAAAGTGAGTATTCTCTTTCTCCTTGAGCTGTATGAAATAAACTCGGTCGTGCTCAAAATAAACGCATGTCCGACGTGTTCCTAAATTTAAATGTACTTTGGTAAGATGGTTTGTATGTGTGATGAATGGACACAGAGAGGGTCTTTCTGTGTTTTTATGCAATACCAGGAACTGTTCAAAAGATGCAGATACCAGTTAGCGGTCTGGGAGTGGTGAACGCTCATGTGCTCCGAGTGTGTAATGCTCGGCACTCAGAACTGGTCATGAGAAAGACCTTTTGTGAGGATAATTACACCCTCTGGAACCAACTTTGGGTCTTTCCGCCATGTCTGCGTGTTTGTTTAGATTAGGGATGCACGATAAATCGCATGCGATATTTAACGCGCATCTTGTCAGTAAAGCCGTTCTGTAATCAGCGGTAAATCTCCATCACCTGCGTGCTTTCACATCGCGCAGCATTAACTACACAGAGCCGTTGTTCACTGACTAGCTGCGCCAAACCACGTTCATATTCGTGCGATTTTTGGCGCAGCTCGTCAGTGAACAACGGCTCTGTGTAGTTAATGCTGCTCAATGTGAAAGCCCGCAGGTGATGGAGATTTACCGCTGATTACAGAACCGGCTTTCTGACAAGATGCGCGTTAAATATCGCATGCGATTTATCGTGCAGCCCTAGTTTAGATATAATAGCATTACATTTCTCCCTTAAGTACAGAAAACTACTACTATGCATTGGGAAAGCCAAATCTGCACATTGAGGTATTAAAGAGGAAACTGGCACAGTCAGGTGACCCAGAGACGAACAATCAGAATAAACAAACATGTAAATGAGATCAGGTTATGAAGGCTACAAATATTACCCGTGATCCTCCTCTTTTCTCTGAGGTCAATCTGGAGCCATTTTGGATGGTTATTGTTAAGGTCATCAGAGACACCCGGTTGGGTGCTGTTAGGAAACCAGTCGACTTCAGACCCGTCAGAAGAGATACTGTGTGATGACAAGCTTGTAGTAGTGCTCACAGGTTGAAGAACAGTCTGTTGACTGCAATCTGTAAAAGAGAGGACATTGTGGTCAGAAATACATTTAAAATGAAACATTTACACTACACTTTAGTTTGGGGTCTGTAAGATTTTTTTCAAAAAAATTAACACTTTTATTCAACAAGGATGCATTCAATTGATCAAAAGTGACAGTAAAGACTTGAAAATTGTTAAATTCTATTTCAAATAAATGCTGTTCTTCTGAACTTTTTGTTTATCAAATAATCCAGAAAAATTATTCACAAAAATATGTTTTCAACACTGCATCAAATCAGCATATTAGAATGATTTCTGAAGGATCATGTGACACTGAAGACCGAAGTAATGATGCTGAAAATTCAGCTTTGCCATCAGAGAAATAAATTACATTTTATAATACACTAAAATACAAAACTGGCATTTTAAATTGTAATATTAATAAACAAAATAAATTACTGTATTTTTTATCAAATAAATGCAGCCTTGTTAAGCATGAGAGACTTCTTTCAAAAGCATATAAACATCTTCTGAATGGTAGTGTAAGTGTCAGATATCTTGCGATTCGTGCCACTTGTGCAACTATGGTGAATATTAATGAATTCCAAATTTAAAAAAAGAACTTCAAAAGAGAGTAACGTTATTTCTACTCGTGTCTAGTGCTTGGCATAATAAAACACACATGTGGAGCAAAAACACAGTTACTTGTGCATTGACTCAACAGGAAGCCCTGAGCTCTTAAAATACCCACCGTGTGTACAGTTAAATGGAAACGTATGTGCTATGAACAATACTACAATAAAAGAGCGGGGAATGACCCCCACTTTCTTTAAAGAGAGAAAAACAGGGTCAAATACATCCTGTTGCTTAGTCCCGATTTGGCTAACACTATCACATTCCACACATTAAGCATATGTCGGCAGAGGAAACTCGGGAAGAAGACAAGGAGAATCTCAGAAAGAGGTCAGAAAAGATCCCCAGACTGAAGTTTCTGCATACTCATGAGTAAAGAGGGTATTTTAATTAAAAAATTTTTTTTAAAGCTTTCAATTAGGGATGCACCGATACCACTTTTTCCAGTACTCGCCCGAAACCGATACTTTCATTTTTGGTACTTGCCGATACCGAGTACCGATACTAATATTTTTATTGCATTTGTCAATTTTTTTAAATATTGGGTACAGGAACCAAAAGCGTATGTATAATGTTAGTTGGTTAACTTCATCTATCAAATAGATAGTCAAACCAAAATTATATTCAGACATCTTCAACATTTCTCACATCATCACAGTTTATTCACTATAGTTTAGAAAATGGTAATAAAATACGTCAAGAACTCAAGAGTTAAACTGTGTCAGAAAAAATTCAGCTTGATAATGTTAGATAACTTTAATAGAAAGGTATGTAATTGATTACAATCAACCAAAAATTATTCAGACAGCTGTTATAGAATGACGGTATTTACACAACTATCAATACTTAGCCGGGCAACCCTTAGCCTTAATGACAGCCTGTAGTCTCCTGGGCATGCTGTCATCCAGCTTCATGCAAACCTGAACTTCAATTTTTTTCCCAGATTCGGTCTGAATAATTTTTGGTCCCAAATTTTTATCAGTTTTACTGGTAGTCTACTGTATGAAGAACTTTTGGGTATAATTTTTCAGTTTACTTTATTTTGCTATCCTCACTTACATAAATTAACTTATAGTGTCCTGCACCCACTAGTAAAAAAAAACATAAATAATTATATCTGGTCTCTGAATAATTTTTGGTTTGACTGTACTGGGCAAAATTAAATGTGAAAATAACCGAAGGATATACAATGTATTTTACAAGTTTTTGTTACTTTCACTGTTCATTTTTTTTGCTCTATGGTACATCATCTTTAATTTAATAGCATTAGAGCTGCTCCATTGCAGCGGCTTAGTACTGTAATCATGCGCTTTGCTGTAATAATGCAGGGAACCACTCGTTATAAATCTCCTAACTGTGATATTTTCAGAAATAGAAGTCCAATTTTTTTCATCTGAAACGTGCTGCGATTTATATTCCAAAGCCAATCATATAACGCAGAAACACTCAAGCAAGCAAAACTCGCGCAACGCATGCACGTATTTGTACTGGTGCAGAATAGTACAGCCTAGCGCATTTCACATAGGCTGCTAGATTCACTTTCGCTAGAAAGTCGTGTATGCCTAAGGTTGAAAATAAATTATGTTTATAGTGAATGCTATTAAAAGTAAATGGTAAAAATAAGACCATTTATAGGGTATAAATGGTCTTATTTTTACCATTTAGTTTTAATCCAAATGATGCATGTGCTAAGTGAGTGAACATCAAAGATCACACAAAAGAAGCGCGCGCGCTCTCGCTCTCTCTCCCTCCTTACCGTTAAGTAACTTGTGCATTGTTTTACTTACTTGTTTTTGACATATCCGACCGAACTACAAACTGTCAAGTGATGTCTGTGAGAAAGATATATTCACTCGACAAGCTCGCGCACTCAATCCACTCAGCGTGCTTTGCTTATCAGCTCACGCACATCAGCTATACAGGCGTTAATACTGAATGTTTAACATTATTATATTCATTGCATACATATAATTTGTAGACATCCTTAATCTCTAATAACTCCATTCTGCTGTCTGTTGTTGGTGTTTCTTTGTCTGAATATGGCACTTATCACATGCTGTGTGGTATCTGCGTTTGGTATCGGGGCATTTTAACGAGTACGAGTAACAGGAGCTCAGTATCAGGTTTGCATGAACCTGGGTGACAGCATGCCCAGGAGACTACAGGCTGTCATTAAGGCTAAGGGTTGCCCGACTAAGTATTGATAGTTGTGTAAATACCATCATACTAACAGCTGTCCATTACATACCTTTCTATCAAAGTTATCTAACATTATCAAGCTGAATTTGTTCTGACACAGTTTAACTCGGAGTTCTTGTTATATTTTATTACCATTTTCTAAACTATAGCGAATAAACTGTGATAATGTGAGAAATGTTGAAGGTATTTGAATACATTTTGGGTTGACTATCTATTTGATAAATGAAGTTAACCAACTAACATTATACATACACTGTAAAAAAAATTCTGTACTTTTTACAAAATAATTTCGGCAGCTGTGGTTGCCAGAATAATTTTGTAAAAAATACAGAAAAACTGTAAACAGATTTATGGCCAAAAACAGTAAATTTTACAGTATAAAACTAATTTAAAAACAAGAAAATTTGAATATAAACCAGTAAATTCAACAATGCACATTGCTATTAAAATCTGTTTTGTACCTTTAACATACTGACAACCACCATAATAATGCAGGTGGTAAAAGAGAAAGCCACATGAAGAATCAAAGCTCATCACAAGCAGCTTCACCACAAGCAGAAGTATATACTAATATATAGAAGGTGCACAGAGTCATTCATGCAAACACAAAACACCATCATGATACTTAAATAATGCATTAAACTTTCATTAAACAACAGAAGATGTAACAAAGCCCAAATATACATAACTACTAACAAAAACTATTAAAAAAACATGCTTATTTAAACAAAATACTTTCAAATGTGGAATGTCATGCAGTGAATTCTGGGAATATCAGTTTACAGTTTTTGACTGTAAATTATACATTGATTTGTTATTTTTACTTCTAAAAACTGTAAAATTAACAGCATTTTACTGTAAAATTACATGAAATGTCTGGTTAGATATTTTACAGTTTTTCCCTGTATATAGTACGGGAACTTACTGTTAA